TTTCAAAGAACTTAGAACTACCATTTGACCCAGCAATCCTATTATTTGGTACAATGAATCCTTCTACCAAAAAGATACATGCATTCATATGTTCATCGCACCACTATTCAAAACAGCAAAGACACAGAATCAACCTAGGTGCCCATCAATGGTGAACTGGATAAAGAAAATGTGGTATGTATACACCATGGAATACTATGCAACCATATAAACAAATTAAATCATGTCCTTTACAGCAACATGGATGTAGCTGGAGGCCATTATCCTAAGCAAATTAACACAGAAACAGAAAACCAAATACTGCATATTCTTACTTATAAGTGGAAGCTAAACTTTGGGTACACATAGACACAAAAATGAAAACAATAAACACTGAAGACTACTAGAGGGAGGGAGAGGGGAGAAGCAAGGGCTGAAAATTACCTATTGGGTACTATACTTACTATCTGAGTGACAGAATCATTTGTACCAGAAACTTCAGCATCATGCAATATACCCATATAACAAACCAGCACCTGTACCCCCGAATCTAAAATAGAAGTTGAAATTATAAAAAACAAAACCAAAAAGACCCCAAAAACTATTCATTATGCTATTTGAACACAATTCTAGCACTTTACAGTAACCTATAGCGATTTTGTTATAGTATTATATAGAGTATTTCAAAATAAAAGTGTTATTGCCTTATACTTTATAGCACTTCACAAATTTCAAACTATTACACATATTAGCACTTTGTTTAGTGCGTTATGCATAGTATGTCAATAACATCTGATGAAGTAAATCCTCATATTAGATTTCATTATAACTTTTTTTTTTTTTTTTTGAGACAGAGTTTCGCTCTTGTTGCCCAGGCTGGAGTGTAATGGCGTAATTTCAGCTCACTGCAATCTCCGCCTCCTGGGTTCAAGCAATTCCCCTGCCTCAGCCTCCCAAGTAGCTGGGATTACAATCATGAGTCACCACACCCAGCTAATATTATATTTTTAGTAGAGATGGGGTTTCTCCATGTTGGCCAGGCTGGTCTCAAACTCCTGACCTCAGGTGATCCGCCCACCTCAGCCTCCCAAAGTGCTAGGATTACAGACGTGAGCCACCGTGCCTGGCCCATTATAACTTTTTATGCATTGTTTATAAGTCAGTAGGCACAATGAAGTTTGTCAAGACAATGGGGCTGAGCTCTAAGGAACACAGTAAAAACCCATAGCCTGTAGTCCCAGCTACTCAAGAGGCTGAGGCAGGAGAATCGCTTGAACCAGGGAGGCAGAGGTTGCAGTGAGCTGAGATTGTGCCACTGCACTCCAGTTTGGCAACAGAGAGAGACACTATCTCAAAAAAAAAAAAAAGAAAGAAAAGAAAAGAAAGAAAAGAAATGCAACTGATGGAGAAGAACTTCTTCAACTTGATAAAGCACATCTACAAAAAATTTACAGCTAACATCATACTTGATGGTAATAAATTGTAAGTTTACCCACTAGGATAAGAAACAAGGCAAAGATGTACCCTCTCATTGACATCATACTGAAAGTCCGTGCTAATGAAATAAGGCAATGAAAGAAAATAAAAGGCATACAGATCAGGGAAGAAGAAATAAAACTATCTTTGTTCACAGGTGATATGATCATATAATAACAAAAAAGTCACTGAACAAGCTACTGGAACTACTAAGTGATTACAGCAGGGTTGAAGGATACAAGTTTAACATACAAAAGTCAATCACTTTCCTATATACCAGCAATGAACAGGTGGAGTTTAAAATTAAAAGCATAATACCATATAAATATACCAGCAATGAACTTTCCTATATACCAGCAATGAACAGGTAGAGTTTAAAACTAAAAGCACAATACCATTTATATGATTTCCAAAATGGAAGACTTAGGAATAAGTCTAACAAAATATATGTAAGAACTATAGGAGCAAAAACAACAAAACACTGAAGAAAGAAATCAAAGGACAACTAAATAAAATGGCGAGATAATCTATGGTCATGGATAGACTCAATATTGTCAAGATGTCAGTTCTCCCCAACTTGATATATACATTAACTGCAATCTCAGTAAAAATCTTAACAAGTTATTTTGAGGATATTGACAAACTTACTTAAAGTTTATGTAGGGAGGTAAAGCCAACACAACATTAAAGAAGAAAAACAAAATTGAAAGACTGAAATTACCCGACTTCAAGACTTATTATAAAGCTACACGCCACACCCACTTACGCCAGCACCCAGGTAGAGAACCAAAGGGCCTGAGGACAGGACTGCCTCACCCACTACTGCCAATGCAGGCACTCATGCTTGTCATCTGGGTGCCTGGGGATCAACCACTTCCCTTATCCACAATGAGATACCATCTCACCACAGTTAGAATGGCAATTATCAAAACAACAAAAAGTAACAAAAGCTGGTGAGGATATAGAGAAAAGGAAACTGTTATACTCTGTTGGTGGGAATGTAAATTAGTACAGAAACTATGGAAAAGAGTATGGAGATTTCTTAAAAAAAAAACTTAAAAACAGAACTTCCAGATGATCCAGCAACTCCACTATTGGGTATCTATTTAAAGGAAAAGAAATCAGCGTATCAAAGGGCTACCTGTACCTCCCCCCCATGTTTACTGCGGCACCATTCACAATTGTCAAGATATTGAATCAACCTAAGTGTCCTCAACAGAGGGACACAAAGAAAATGTATATATACACGATGGAATACTATTCGACCATAAAAAAGAATGAAATCCTGTCATTTGCTGCAACACAGATGGAACTGGAAGTCATTATGTTAAATCAAACAAGCCAGGCACAGAAAGGCAAACATCACAAGTTCTCACTCACATGTGGGATGGGAGCTAAAAACGCTGATCCCATAGAGGTAGAAAGTAGAATGAGAGTTAACCAGAGGGTGGGAAGGGAGGAGGGGATGAAGAATGGGTTAATGGTTAATGGGTATAAACATACAGTTAGATAGGCAGAATAAATTCTACTTATTGGTAGCACAGTAGGGTGACTCTAGTTAACAATAATTTATTGTATATTTCAAAACAGCTAGAAGATTTGAAATGTTTCCAACACAAAGAAATCATAGTGTTTGAGATTACAGATATCCTAATTACTCTGATTTGATCATTACACATCACACATTTGATCATATACATTGCATGGTATCAAAATATTACATGTATCCCATAAATATGTACAATTATTATGTATCAATAAAAATATGTAAGTAAAGCTATAATAATCAAGACAGTATGGTATGGCAAAAGACAAATAGATCGATGGAGTAGAACAAAGAGATCAATGGAACAGAACAGAGAACCGAGTCCAAAAAACAGAACCACATAAATGCAGTCAACTGATTTTTAACAAAAGAGCAAAGGCAATACGATTAATAAAAGACGGTCTTTTCAACAAATGCTGCTGGAACAACTGGACATCCACATGCAAAAAAAAACCGACTCTAAACACAGATCTTACACTTCTCACAAAAATTAACAAAATGGATCACAGAGAAAAATGTAAAATGCAAAGCTACAAAACTCCTAGAAGGTAACACAGGAGAAAATCTAAGTGACTTTGGGTATGGCAGTGACTTTTTTTTATATATAACACCAAAGGCACAATCCATGAAAGAAGGAACTGATAAGGCGGACTTCATTTTGCTCTGCAAAAGATACTGTCAACAGACGAGAAGACATGCTACAGACTGGGGAAAAAATGTTTACGAAAGACTGATAAAGCACTGTTATTCAAAATATACAAAGAACTCTTAAAATTCAACAATAAGAAAAACAAATGACTCAAAAAATTGGCAAAAGATCTGGACACATCATCAAAGAAGATATACAGATGACAAATAAGCATGTGAAAAGGTGTTCCATATTATATGTCATTAGGGAAGTGAAAATTAAAACAATGAGATACGACTAAATACCTACTAGAATGGCCAAAATCCAAAATACTGACAATATCAAATGCTGGCAAGGATGTCGAGCAACAAGAACTCTCATTCCTTGCTGGTGGGAATGCAAAATGGGTATAGCCACTTCGGAAGACAGTTTGGTATTGTCTTATAAAGCTAAATATATTTTTACCATATGATCCAGCAATCATACTCCCTGAGCAATCATACTCCTTGTTATTTACTCAAATGAGCTAAAAAGTACGCCCCCACAAAAACTTGTACATAGATTTTAAAGTAGCTTTGTTCATATCTGCTAATATTGGCAGTAAACAATATGTCCTTCAGTAGGTGAATAACTAAACTGTGATACATTCAGATAATGGGATATTATTCAGTACTAAAAATAAATGAGCTATCAAGTCATAAAAAAGCACTAGAGGAAATGCACATGCATATTTCTAAGTATAAAAAGCCAATCTGAAAAGGTTACATATGTACTGTATGATTCCAACTATATGACATTCTGGAAATGGCAAAACCATGAAGACAGTAGAGAGTTCAGTGGTTACCACAGGATAGGGTGTAAAGAGGGAGGAATAGGCAAAGCACAGAGGATTTTAGGGAAGTGGAGGTACTCTCTATAATACCATAATGGTAGACACATGACATTATGTATTTGTCAAAACCTATAGAATGCCTAACACTAAAGGTGAACCCTAATGTAAACTATGGACTTTGGGTAATAATAATGTGTCAATGTAAGTTCATCAGTTCTAATAAATTGTAACACTATGGTGCAGGATAGTGACAGTAGGAGAGGCTACGCGTTTGTGGGGCAGAGGGTATACTCTCTGTACTTTCTGCTCAATTTTGCTGTGAGCCTACAACTGCCCTAAAAAATCAAGTCTAATAGAAAATCGAACCAAAAAACCAAACCATAGCTCTTCACCATCTTCCAATACTTCACCCAGATCGTTAAAAACAGCTGTTTTCAACATGGATCAGAGGGCAAAACCACTACCTTTTTCTAAACTTCATCTTCCAAAAACATCTTAACTGGCAATTTAAGGCTCACAGGGCAGATTAAATAACTTACTTTTCAATTTTCTTCTTTTGTTCTTTTTGCCTTTGTTGTTCTTTTACTTGTTCTCTCTCAATATCCATGAAAAGTCGTCTATGTCTCAGGTACTGCTTTTGACGCTAAGGAAAGAAGTTAAAATTACTAAGATTCTGCTTTCAGAGGAATTTCCAAGGAAGAAAAATATTCTTATACCACAGACAAAAACAAACAGCAAGCAAACAAAAATAGATGATATAGAAGTTACGTGGGATTAAGTCTTTAATTTCCTTCTCTCTGTGGTTACTCAGGATGTCATATACACAAGAATTTTATATTTTCAAGCACATAGCTATTATATGTTAATAGGCAAACCAGAGAAAGTATTTACTCTGTGTTACTCTGAAATATTTATTCTGTGTTCCCAAGTATTAAGTACCATAAAAGCAGGGCCACAGAAAGAATGTAGACGATATTTTGTAACAGAACAATAGTTACTTTAACTTTTCAAAATTAAAACAGTATCACAAAAGCATACTCTAAGCCTAGCCTAATATGGCACAGAGGAGGGTAGAAGGGCTGAGGTATACTAAAGCCTCAGACTCATAAACAACACAAGTAGAACAAAAGCAAGTCCTACTAGACTGTATGTGATCTGTTCATATCTCTGGATTTATATACACTCTTTTAAATACACAAGCTATTCAATGAGCAAAAAGCATGTCTATGTATATACCAGAGTAGTACAGGGCTTTTTGCTAAAAATTATTGAAGGTCTATACTCAATACTGAGGATGCATCAGAATCACCAGTGGTATTTTTAAAAAACAAAAATGCCCTAAACCTCCGTTTTCAGATATTGATCTGGTGTATCTGGTTTAGATCTAGGCATATTTGTATTTTGAAAAAAACTTCCCATCTGATTCTGGTGCATGGCCAGGTTTAAGAACTATTGGTTTAAACTAACTTTAGATTGAAAAGAGAGAGAGAAAAGAAAGCAAGCCATAAAGTAATTATCTTCCTTTAAATAAGTTATAGTGGCAAATATACATTAGCTGGAGAAATCTATTAGTATCAAATAATTGGTTTCATATCAATGTACCCTAACTCATAGGAGCTTGGAAAAGAAATTCAACACATTATAACGAGTGAAGCAACTTTTATTTTATTTATGAAATTTGTGGTATTAGCTCTTTTATGTGTTAGGACACAACAAATTGTTTCCAATTTCTCATATATTAATACTATCATAGTAGAAATATTGGTGTCCAAAAGCAGTATCATTACATACCTCTTTCTTATCTTCTTCTTTATCTACGCCAGACTGAAATGCGAGTGGAGCTTGGAATTCAGTGCTCAATCCTGATCGATACCCATCATAAGCCTGTTAGAAGGTCCAGTCACACAAAGTGACAAAATTACCAAAAACTACTTCATAAGCCATTTTGATATTTTTATCTAGTCTTTTCTTTTGCAAACTTGGGCTCAACTGGATAAAGAAGCAAAAAATAATAAATAAATAAAAAGGGGGATATAAAGAATAAAATCAAAAAAGAATGAAAGGAAGCCATTTCAGAAGGAATTAACCAAACTCAAAATAATAAATCGAAGAAAAGGGTTCAGGTTAAAAATATGAATAAACAAAAAATTAAAATGTTCAGAATGAAAATTCTTCTAAAGTGATCACTTGAAATCACTGTCATGAGTGTACTTGGAATAGAATCTAGGATAAATAGCCAGATTCCTTAATATTTCAATTCTACATATGATCACTTTGAATTTATATAACCCTCTTAGTGTGCATGAGTCGAGAGAAAATATTATATCAACAACTGGAATGGCATGGAGGAAACAGGCTAATTTCCACCCATGTTTACTGGGAAAGCCTTATAACATAACTTGGTATATCTACTTGGACATTATATAGGTCAAATGATGATCTCCAACTTTTAGAAATAAAAAGTTTAAAATTAATTTCTAAAGTTTAAAAGTTATTTATCTTTCAACAAGGTTGCAGGATACATGATCAATATACAAAAATCAATTGTATTTCTATACTTGTAAAGAAAAATCTAGAAAGTAAATTAAGAAAAAATTTACAATTACAATATCTTCAAAAAGAATAAAACACTGAGAAATTTAACAGAGGAAGTGTGAATTTTACACTCTGAAACATACAAAACATTGTTTTAAAAAAATGAAAGATGACCTATATAATGGAAAGACATCCCATGCTTATGGACTGGAAGACCTAATATTGGCAGCATTCCCCAAATCGATCAACAAATTTAATAAACCTCCATCAAAATGTCAGTTGATTCTTGGCAGAAATTGACAAGATGATCCTAAAATTCTTATGAAAATGCAAGGGACCCAGAATAGATAAGACAGTCTTGAAAAAGAGCAAAGTTAGGGGACTCTTCCTAACATCAAAACTTACTACAAAGATACAATAATCAAGACAAACTGTACTAATTCAAGGATAGATATGCTATAGATCAATAGAAAAAAAGTGAGAGTTCAGAAATAAACTCTTACATTTATAATGAATTGATTTTCAATAAGAGTGCCAAGACAATTCAATTGAAAAATAAACGTCTTTTTAACAGATGATTCTGGGACACAGGTTATCCACATGCAAAAGAATGAAGTTGGACCTCTCCCTAACACTATACACAAAAATTTACTCAAAATTGATCATAGGCCTAAATATAACAGCTAATACTATAAGACCAGAAGAATGCATAGGAGTACATCTTCGTGATTTTGGCTTAGGTAATGGGTTCTTAGATATGACAATAAAAGCACAAACCATGAAAGAAAAAGTGGACAAATTAGACTTTGTCAAAACTAAAAACTTTTGTGCTGCAGAGGAAACCACCAAGAGAGTGAAAGGCAACACACAGACAGGAGAACATCTGCAAATCATATGTATCTGATAAGGGACTTGTACGTGGAACATATTATGAATTCTCACACTCAATAATCACAACACAAATAACCCAATTACAAAATGGGCAAAGCATCTAACAGTTCTCCAAGCAAGATATACAAATGGTCAGTAAGCACATGAAAAGGTGTTCAACATCATTAGCTATCAGGAAAATACAAATCAAAAGTATAGTGAGGTGCTACTTCACACCCACTTGGATGGCAATAATTAAAAATACAGATAATACCAACTGTTGATGAGGATGTAAAGAAATTTGAGCCCTCGCATGCTGCTGGTGGGAGTGAAAAATGGTGCAGCCACTTTGGAAAAATCAGTTTGGCAGGTCCTCAGAAGGTCAAGCACAGTTATCATACATTTCACCAATTCCACTATGAGGTATACGCCCAAGAGAAGTGAAAAATATGCCCACAAAAAAAAATTGTACACAAATGTTCACAGCAGTATTATTCCTAACAGCCAAGAAATAAGCCAAACTTCCATCAATTGATGAATAAAATGTGCTATATGCACAAAATAGAATATTTCTCAGCAGTGAATAGGAACAAAGTACTGCTATATGCTACATCAGTGGATTTTGAAAACATCTGCTAAGTGAAAGAAGCCAGTCACAAAAGGTCATATCTTTCATGGTCTCCTTTGCACAGACTATCCAGAACTGACAAATCTGTAAAGACAGAAAATAGCTTAGTGGTTGCCTAGGACTGGAGGTGGGGCTAAAGGGAAAAGGGGAGTGGTACAGGACTTTTAGGGGGTGACGAAAATGTTCTGAGACTGATTGTGGTTAATGCCACAAACACAACCTGTGATTTTTGCACAACCCTGTAAACACTAAAAACACTGTATACTTTAAATAGGTCAATTGTATGGTATGTGAATTACAATCATTCATTATTTGCATATTATATATTTGCAAATTTGCCTATTCACTGAAATTTGTGTGTAAACCCAGTACTCAAGGTGTTTTTGCAGGTCTTTGCAGACATGCACAGAGCTGTGAAAAATGTGAGTCACCCAACATGCATGTTGCCAACTGAGGCTGACCAAGGTGATACTCTGCCTTTTTGTTTCAGCTCTCATGCTGTAAACAAGTGTCCTTTTTGCAGTCTATTTGGTGCCACGTGTTTGCATGTTTGTGTTCTATGTTGGTGACTTCACTGTTAAAATGGTCCCCATGCATAGCTGAAGTACTATCTATTATTACTAAGCACAAAAAGGCAGTGGTGTACCTTATGGAAAAAAACATGCGTGTTAGATAAGCTTCATTCCAGCATGAGTTACAATGCTGTTGGCTGCGAGTTCATGTTAACAGATCAACCATGTATATTAAATAAGGTGTTTTAAAGAGAAATATATATAAAATAAGGTTATGTAGTGATTAGCTGACAAAAATTGTATGACCAGAGGCTTGCAGGAATCTACCCCAGTATCTCCCCTAGGAGCAAAAATTCAGTATTTCCTGATTCAGTGTTTGTAACAACTTTATATAACACAACTACTATGAATAACAAGAATAAATTGTTTATATCAATAAAGCTATTATTATTTTAAAAGTTATTTGTTTTGTGACTCTAAAAGTCTGAAAATCTATATACCAAAATGTTAATGAGAAATATCTCTAAAATTTTGGTTATCTTTTTCATTTGTGCTTATCTTCTCTATAATAAAAATGAAATTACTTTCTGTTTTCAATAAAGAAAACTGGACTCCCAGTACTTGCCAACGATGAAGCACACTTTGGGCTCTCTCTCTTGCTCTCATTGATTGTAACTAAGACTTCTAGGAAATGTAGCTCCTGGGATCTGGAGAGCGTATGGGGTAACCTAGAGAGAAGTGAGCTAGAAAGTGGACCCCTTAATTCTGTGTGTGAACTCGCACATATCTCAGAATCACCCCTGAACTGTGAGTGCATGGGACAGACCTATAGGAATATATTAAAAGCTTTGAAAACTAACTAAACATTGGAGCCACTGTGCACAGGAGAGATCACTTACAGTTGGAATTTAACCAGGTTGACTGCCTGCTAGAACAAACAACAAAAGAGACAATATTCTTCAGAGGATTTTAACAGAAACCAGAGTCTCAAAATATAATATTAAAAATGTTAGCCTGGTGGCTAACATGGTGGCTCATGCCTGTAATCCCAGCACTTTGGGAGGGCAAGGCAGGTGGATTACTTGAGGTCAGGAGTTCAAGACCAGCCTGGCCAACATGGCAAAACCCTGTCTCCACTAAAAATAAAAAATAAAAAAATTAGCCAGGAGTGGTAGCACACACCTGTAATGCCAGCTACTAGGGAGGCTGAAACACGAGAATCACTTGAACTCAGGAAGCAGAGGTTGCAGTGAGCCGAGATCACGCCACTGCACTCCAGCCTGGGTGACAGAGCAAGACTCCATCTCAAAAAAAAAAAGTCTAGGATATAACTTAAAGTTAGTTGACATAGAAAAAAGCAGGAAGATGTGACCAATTTTGAGGGGTGAAGATAATAAACAGATCCCAACTCCAGGGTGACCCAGATGTTGAATTAACAGACAAAACCTTTAAAGCAGTGATTAATACTATATCTATGAGGAAAAGGCAAACCCAATTGAAGTGAAAGAAAATACAGAAGTTCTCAGCACAAAAATAAAAATTATTTAAAAATACAGATCCAAATTTTAGAGACAGAAAAACACAACACGTGAAATCAAAATTTCACTGGATAGACTCAATAGAAGAATGAAAAAAAAGTCAGTGAACTTGAATCTACTGGATCAATATAAATGATCCAATGTGAAGAACAAAGAGAAAAAACAAGACTGGAAAAAAACCGAACAGCATGTCGATGATGCATCTGTGGGACAATATCAAAAGGTCTAACATTTGTGTCAATGGAGTTGCAGAAGGAAAGGAGAAAATAATTGGTACATAAAAAACATTTGAAGACATAATGGCAAAAAACTTCCCAAATTTGGTCAAAGATACAGATTTACAGATTGAAAATGTTCATCATACCTGAGATGGGATAAACTAAAAAACATTATGCCTAGACACATCATAATTAAACTGCTGGAAACCAAAAAATAACAAGAGTTTTGAAAGTAGCCAGAAAAAATAGACATATTACATATAGAAGAACAATGACTCAAATAATTACAAATTTGCTATCAAAGACTGGAAACCAGAAGACAGTGGAACAGTATTTTTAATGTGCTGAAAGAAAAGAACTGTCAATCCAGAAATCCATATCCAGTAAAAATAAATTTTAGGACTGATGACAAAAGAGATATTCTCAGATGAAAGAAAATTAAGCAAATGCATTGCTACAAGACCTGCACCACAAGAAAAGGTAAAGAAAGTTAGCTGGAAAATGATACCAGGGAGGAATTTGAAACTTCAGGAATGAAAGACAAGCAACAAAAAGAGTCAGTAAGTAGAGACTCTCGGCCGGG